AATAAAATTATATTATACCCGTGATTTTTTACGGGGCGATTACTAACTATCCGACTGTATCGTCACTATCATTCGACGGAGTTCCGAGGCGATACTGACGCTGCTGCCAGGGTGTAAAACGCCGTCCTCTTTCTTGCTTTAGAAAGTTTCGTCCGCGTGACGTTACAGTTGCAGTCTCGGTGGTTTTGTATTTGATGGCTTTCCGAGGCGACACACGCAGGGCCGTACGCACCAGGGGGGCAGCAGGGGCAGTTGCCCCCCCTAGAGATTTTCAGAGTATGCCTTTTAATGGGACAAATAGGGCAATAGAAGGCGTGGAGAGTACCTTTGCCCCCCCTACAGAAAATTTCCTGCGTATTTGCCCCCCTACAGAAAATTTCCTGCGTACGGCCTTGGACACACGCCAACGTTGCTGCCACAGTGTAAAACACAGTTCTCGTTTTTACTTTTTCAAAAATCTGGTCCGTTTGCAGTCTTGTATTTAATGGCTCTACACCACTGACACACAAACATTGCTACCATAGTGTAACACACAATTCTCGTTCTTACTTTTTTTTATGAAATCTCGTCCGTTCGCAGTTTCTGTGGATTTGCATTTAATGGATTTTCGAGGTGACACACCCCGACGTTGCTTCCGTGGCGTAAAACACCATCCTCGTTGTTCTTGCTTTAGAAATTCTCATTCGCGTCTCGTCCTCCATTTACAGTCGGTGGGTTTGTACATCGACGAGTCGAGTTTCACGGGCGAGACGCAGCCGGTGATCAAGCACACTGCGCCGTTGAAGGGCGGCGACTTATCCGGCCGCCACAACCTATCCTTCATGGGCACGCTGGTGCGGTGCGGATCCGGCAGGGTACGTTCTACTGATCGCGACGCACAACGTATTAGCCAGCGAGCCGTGCAGCCGTGATTTGCACGGTCAGTTTTGAAACTGCACGGCCAAAAAAATTAAAAAATTAAAAAATTAAAAAAATGGTACAATTTTTCCCCGTACCCCCCTCTCATACTCTCCCCCCCCGTGAATGCCTATGGTGGTCTTGGCTGAGACACACAAAAATTGCACTCCCAAATATTTTTTCTGCACTCCTACAATCAGGGATGAGATTCTTCCGCGGTTCCGCGGAAATCCGCGGATTTGACAGTCCCAGGGGTCGATTTTGTGAAACGTCTAAATTCGTTGAGAAAATTGGGAGTGGGGTAACAATGTAACAATTTAAATTATATACCCTCAACAGCACCTGACTGTAGACTGTAGAGTGTAGACAGTAGGCTGACAGCGAAGTATACAGTGTATCTGTTTTTGCGTACCAGAAAAGAAAATCCTCGTTCACAGGCTGCAGTAGAGGGGCAAACATTTGAGGTAGCTGATCAAGTAACGACCATGCCTGGCCTGGGGGCCGGGTTTACATGTTGCTGCGTGCATGTTGTGTGCATGACTATGCACTGATTGTTCCATTCGCATTGTGTTTTTTTCATTCAAATCTCGTCGCAGCAAGGCAGCTTATGTCTGAGTAAAACAATGCAAGCGACGGGTGGAAACAAAAAAAGATCATTATGTCTAGACATTTAATAAAAAATTTGCCCTATTTTCAGCCCCCTGATTTCCTATTATAGTTCGTTTGTTCCTTTTGATAACTTGAAAAGGTGATTCAAGAGTCTCCTATAATGTGTTCAGAATAGCTTAGAATGCACCAAATTGCACCATTCTTTAAAAAAAATTCATGACCTACGGTCCTCGCATTGCTCGCTCCTCTGTTTGCTAATTAAAATTTCAGCTGAAAATTTAATTATCCAATCTCATCCCTGTACAATACTCATTGCTGGCTAATACCTGGGCGCCACGTGACGCGGCGTCGCAGACGCGTCTGCTGATGAGGAACCTTATGGAGAGAAATAAGAGGAATCTGCTGGCGTTGGAGATGAGTCTGAAAACCCAGCCAGTGTTGTTATTCTAAATATGTCGGTTTCTACTATCATAACTTTTTGCAAAATCCATGACAATGAGCCAGTCCTGCTCAAAAGTTGTCAGTCCGAGACTGCGGGGATGGGGTGCTATTTTCAGCACCACTCTATGTGTGTGCGGGGGGAGAGATAACCACTATAGGAAGTTTAAAGCAGCTGGCGTGGTAAAAATTAACCCAATTAGTCTTAGCGCTCTTTTTGTAGATTGTCGACAGAATTTTGTTTCGTAAAGTTGTGAATAAAAATTCCGTAAATTTTTAAAGTAGTTGGCCTGGTTATGGTGACGTTCTTCTGCTCACAGTAACTTTCTGCGCTGTCATCGTAACAGGTAGCATCATGTCATTGGTTGTCACTTTGTTAATCTCACTATTTTTCTCTCTCTCTCTTTCTTTAGGGTATTGTAATTGGAACAGGCGAAGCGTCGGAGTTTGGTGAAGTCTTCAAAATGATGCAGTCAGAAGAGGTGAGCCGATTGTAATGTGTGCAAAGTACGATACACATGTATATCATGAGTTTAAATTGTCTACGTCACGAATTTTCTAAGGTGTATATTTGTAAAATTTTTGTTGCCATTTTTTTTACATGAAAAGTACTAACGGGACTAAATGTATCGTCAAATTCTTACCTGATAAGATTGTTTCTCAACTAGTTAAAAATCCAAAAAACCTGGACGATTTGATATTATGATCCTGACATTAATTGCTTGCTATGGGATATGTATGAGTCACGAGTGTATGTTTACATCGAACAATATAGTAAAAGAGGAAGTATAATGCAGCACTTTAAATAAATCGGCTTACGTGAGTTGAAATCAGAAGTTGTCTGTGTTAATGCCGATTTCAGTAAGTGCTTGTACTAAATGATCGCTTGCAAAAACGATATTAACAAACATGCATTCGTCGGCTCGCTAGGCTCCCAAGACCCCTCTGCAGAAAAGTATGGACACGTTAGGAAAGCAGTTGTCTTTCTATTCTTTTGGCATCATTGGTATGATCATGCTGCTGGGTTGGATCCAGGGAAGACCCATACTGGACATGTTCACAATAGGTGTCAGGTAGGAGAATCTTGTAGCCAACTCTTGTATTTCACAAGACATGGTTCCCTTACTATTGTAATTTTGGCGATTTTTCTGCTGTAGGTTTATTACTTCGCAAACACACCGTGGCCCATGCATTCAGTAGTATGATATCTTCATGGCGTAATGTGTTTGTTTCAGTTTGACGACTTTTCTGCTGCAAGTTTACCACGTTGCTAACACAGAATGTCCCAAGCATTCAGCAGTGCGATATCTACATGGTGTAATGTGTTTGTTTCAGTTTGGCAGTGGCAGCTATACCGGAGGGTCTACCGATAGTTGTGACTGTGACCCTCGCACTCGGAGTGATGCGCATGGCCAAGAGGAAGGCCATAATCAAGAAACTCCCCACTGTCGAAACACTGGGTAATAAACGCGTGATGTTTCTTATAATGCATGTTTAAGAAGAGTTTATATTATTGCGTGTTCTTTGGAAAGAGGTTGCGTGAGATGAAACTATCGAATTAGGTAAAGTTTTCGTGTGGTCTGCTTATGCACACCACACGAAAACTTTACCTAAGCCTTAAATGTTCAAGGGAAATCTACCTTACTGAATGTTCTCTGGGATGCGGTCAGATCAGGTATGACTAACAAATTATGTAGTTTTTGTGTGGTGTTTTCAGCACACCAAAGTATCAAATATTAGAAAAATGCTCTAGCGGCATTGTTCAGGTCGAAGATCATGTGTTGAAAGTTATATGTGCCGGCAGGATGCGTGAACGTGATCTGCTCGGACAAGACGGGAACGCTGACGAAGAACGAGATGACGGTGACGTCCATCGTGACGGCGGACGGCCAGTACGCCGAGGTAAGGCAGGGAGAGATATGGTAGGGAGAGGGAGGGGTAGGTAGAGAGAGGTATGGTAAGGGGAGGGAGGGGTAGGTAGAGAGAGGTATGGTA